CTAATCGAGGGGTTCGGGGTGGTTTATATACAGAATAACAGATACCCGGGAGGGAGTTACAGACTGGAATCTAATCGAGGGGTTCGGGGTGGTTTATATGCAGAATAGCAGGTACAAGGGAGTGAGTTACAAAATAGTTGAATTGTTAAGGTCTGTTTTGATATACAGAATAGAGCACAGTTCGAAACCTCTGTTGTTGATTTTTTTGATTTTAAGATTAACATATGGTTTAGTCAGGTTGCTCAGTTTTTCTGCTGATTTCATTGGTTTAAATAAATAACTAGCTTTTTAAACATTTACCAGCTCTCCCCAACTGCTCATTCTATTTTCAGCACCAGTGAAGCTGTCTCTGTGTCTGCCACCTTCAGGCATGCCTTCTTAGTTTCCAGTCCAGCTTCCGTCATCGCATTGCGTGTATTTATATGCCTCCTGCTCTTCCTCATGTACTCATGGATTTCATCCAATTCTGCATGCCTTCCCAAAAGTACCTGCCTCACTCCAACTGAATGCTCACCTAAGAACCACAGCTGGCATTCATGTGAAAATGTGTTTTGGTTATCAGCAGGTAAAACACACACAGCTTGATCCCAATTACACAGCAAAGGCCCAACCTCTCAGGCAAGAGATAACAAGGTGTAGAGCTGGATGAACACAGCAGGCCAAGCAACATCAGAGGAGCAGGAAGGCTGACGTTTCAGGCCTAGACCCTTCTTCAGAAAAATCTCAGGCAAGAGATCAGGTTTCAAGCAGCTCTTTGAGAAAGAGAGACACATAAGTACTCGGAAAAAAAAAATTCAGAGTTTGGGACTCAGCCAAAAGAGTCAACTCTGGGCCCTTTCAACTCCTGACACTGTTCATACCAACATTTCTGCTCCTTCCAACCCCAGCTTCTGATTTTCGGAATTCAGATTTCTCCACAAATTCCTCATTGGGTTTCTTTATGATCGAAAACTTTAAGTCACGGTCAACAGCTCTCAACATAGACACCAGCAGAAAGGGAGATTAAGTAGGTGAAAGGAATTCAGACTGATTCTAGATGCACAGACTCCATAGAATTCCTACAGTGTGGAAACAGGCCATTCGGCCCAACGTGTCCACACTGATTCTCCGAAGAGCATCCCAACCAGACCCATTCCCCACCCTATCCCTGTAATCCTGCATTTTCCATGGCCAGCCCACCTACATCCCTGGACACTATGGGGCAATTTCCCACAGCCAATCCACCCTAACCTGCACATCTTTGGACTGTGGGAGGAAACCTGAGAACCCAGAGGAAATCCACACAAGACACAGGGAGAATGTGCAAACTCTACTCAGATAGTCACCCGAGGAGGGAATCAAACTCAGGTCCTGGCGCTGTGAGGCAGCAGTGCTAACCACTGAGACACCATGCCGACCAATACTGTAACCACCAAAATAACTTCAGGGGTTAATAAGGATGTTAAAAATGGACCATTTCCTTCAGCAGAATTTGTAGTTGAATTGTTTGGGTGTAAAGTAGCTGAAAACTAGGATTACAAACGGTTTGAGAAAGGCTTTTGGCAAACATCCAAAGGGACAACTGTTAGTGGAATGAGAGAGGATCACAGTTGCTGCTTATTTCCAGTAATCCTAAGTTTAGCTGTTCTAATACTGACTTCTAGACTTTATGGGTTGGGAGAAAACCTGGCTCAGCATATTTTAAATGCAAAACCAATTGCGTCAATGAAAGCTAAAAGGGCTGCGGCTGGGTTGGCTATACTTTGAAATCAAAAGGTACCTCCTGCAGCGCGAAGATCGAGATAAACCTCTTGGCAAGTAATCCAGAACGTTGGCTAATGTCCTGGTACAAGGGTTCGAATCCTGAGGGAGGTGGTAAAATTTGACTTCATTAGCAATCTGAAACAGAACATTAGCCCAATGGAGGCCACATAACCACTGTCAATTGTGTAAAAAAAAACCCATCTTCAGTCACTATGCCTTTTGGAGGAGGAGATTTGTTGTCCTTACCCAGACTGTGTCTACACGTGACTCCAGACTCATAACAACGTGGCCTCTTAACATCCCTCAGTTAAGGCCAGTAAAATAGACTGTAGCAGCAGGCAGATTGCTCTAAACTAGGATACATGAACAATGCCATGGGATATAGATAGAGTAAAAGATGGCAATCAGGTACCGGGACTATCTATCCTGTGTTATACGGTCTTCAATACTACCTGGTCAGCAGCATATATATATAATTAAAAAAAGGTGCAACATTAACTCACACAGAATTAACAAGGAGGCCAGGCAATAATTGTAAAAAGAGAATCAACAATTCTTAGTTTTCTTTTTATAAAAAAGTAGTAGATCTGTGCAGAGAGCCCTGACCTTCAAGGCTAAGGACAGTTTAAGATTAATGATGGAAATTACTGGCAAGATAGCACAATGGGATAAATTTTAAGATAAGCAATTAAATTAATTGGTGATGGTCAGACTGAAAGTTAGCTCTGCAGTCCTGCCAGGATTACAGAATTTGCTGCTGCAGATCATTGCGTCTATCCATTTTAAAAGACAATTAGAAAATTGTTTAGCTATTAAAGGGTGTGGAAAGTGCAATTTAGAAATCCAATAAAGAATTGAACAATTGAAAACAAATTGGTCCCAAAGTTTCCCTGTTCAAATGGAATACTTATACCATCACTATACACTCTCCTGGTATGTGCAGTCACATATAGACGGTAAGCATGAACTCAGACATATCCAGAAGTATATGGACTAGATATTTTAATTTTATAAAGTTAGCACAGGTTGGTAATGGGTCTCCATCCAGTCATGTGGTGGAGATCCCCAGCCATGTCCTGTTTTAATTTATATAAAATCAGTGAAGCTCTACGTGATTGTTCAAGAAAAAGTTCATTCCAACTCAAGAGTCTCAAACATATTTCAATCTCTCGTTCACCAAAGTAGCTCAGACATCACCTGCTGTCATCCATGTAACTGCATCAAGGTGACTGTGGTAACACACTCCTGGTGCATCAGCTGGAGTTTAGACCAGGTATAACAATTGCAATTCAATCACTCCAAGGTGGTTTAGTGAAGATCTCAAAGAGAACACAGACTGAAAAAGCTCCTACCTGCACCAAACGATATCATACAGTAGAAGCCAGTGAATACAATATAGTCTGGTGGCTCAAATTGAGATTGTTCCGAGTCTTCCCACTAGAGTCAGTCCCGCTGTTTCCTGTGTCAAAGTTTGTAATGTAGTGTGATCTGGGTCCCACTCCAATACAGTTCAAATCCTTCCACGTACATCAATCATCATCCCTCTCACGCAAATGGACCAGGGTTGCTCCAATGAAGCTCAATCTCATTCAATGTCAATGGCTCCAATGCAGCTGGGTCCCCTAAATACAGCCTATTCCCTCTGTTGTCAGTGCAACTAAATCCAAGTGCCTCCAATGCAGTTCAGCCCCTCATTGCAGCTCAATGCCATGATCTCCAATGCAGCTCAGTGCCTGTACCTCCCAAGCAATTTGGTGTCTTCAGTGCAGCTCAGAACCAAATATTTCACAGCTGTTTGGTGCCTCAAATGCATTTCAGTTCCAGTACTCGCTGTATACTTTAGGTCCCCAGCTCAATGCCAATACTTCCAGTGCAGTCTGGTGTCTCCAATGCATTTCAAATGATAAGCTCTCTAACATAGCCCATTTCTGCAATGCATTTAAGTGCCAATATCTCCAATGCAGTTCAGTGTTGTGAATTCTTCCCAGTGGCAATAGCACTATTGTGGTTCAGGATTCCAATACAGCTTGATTTCTCAGGTACATTTCATGGCAGCATCTGCAACGCATCCCATTTGCACAATCTCCAATGCATTTTTCTGTCTCCAATTCAGGTGGTATCTCCAATGCATTTTAATGGCAGTATCTCCAATAAATCCTGGCGTCTCAAATACATTTCAGCAGCAACATCCTCAGTGTCTCCAGTGCACTTCAGTGACAGTATTTTGAATGTGGCCTGGCACCTTGAACGTGGCCTGGCGTGTCAAGTTATTTCAGTGGCAGCATCTCCAATGCATTTTGGTGGCGATATCTCCAATGCAGCCTGATGTCTCCAATGCAGTCTGATATCTCCAATGCAACCTGATGTCTCCAATGCAGTCTGATGTCTCCAATGCAGCCTGATGTCTCCAATGCAGTCTGATATCTCCAATGCAGCCTGGTGGCAGCATTTCTGACCCATTTCAGTGGCACATGTCCAATGCAACTTGATGTTTCCAGTGCATTTCAGTGGCAGCATGCCCAGTGCAACTCAATGTCTCTGGTGCAGCTTGGTGGGTGTTTTCTCCAGTCGGTCAGTCAAAGTGTGTTGGGGGTGGGGGGGGGGGGGGGGGGGGGGTAGTAGGGGGGAGGTGGAATGGGGTGGGCAGGGAATGGGTGTGGGTGTATGCTCCCCTACCCTATGCCCCCCCCCTGGGGTGGGGTCCTTACAGCACCTCACACCAGCACGAATGCAGCAGCTCGGCCAGGGCGCTGAGCACGAAGACCAGTGCGAAGGAGCCGATGACGGCCCGCAGGACCCCCAGCAGACGACGGGACTGGAGGCGGTGCCGGCGGCTGGCGCTGCCGTGGAAGGACGGCGGTGGCTCGGGCAGCTCAAGGTGGAATGCGGCTGCCTGGCGACCCCTCACCCAGCACCGGTACACCCCTTGGTCAGACCGCCGCACCCCAGCGATGGTGTAGACTCCACCCCCCGTTTCCTGGTCCAGCCGGTGGCTTCCGTTGCACGGTGAGCGGAGCAGCTCGAGGCGGGTGAGGGGTGACGAGTCCCGCTGCCAGGACACTGGCATGTAGACCGAGGCGCCTGGGCACTGCAACCTCGCCTCTTCGTGCACATCCAGCAGCAATGTCTCCAGCAGCAGGGAGCGGGCTTGTAGCCAGGCCGGGGGCACCCGGAGATCCCCTCCACTGGCCTGGCCTAGACCCAGACCCTTACCCACTCCACGTTGCAGGAAGAAGCTCGAGCCCAGCAGCTCCCGTGCTTGGGCAGCCAGTTCCTCATGCCCAGAGGAGCCACATTCCCTCCGGCAGGTCTCATAACGAATCTCGGGGCCTCGGCGGGGCAGGGCTTGGCCCAGGCGGAGCTGCATGAGGCCACAGGGCTCCTCCTGGACCTCCTCTTCCTCCTCCCTGTCCTCCTCCTCGTCCTGCAGGGAGGCCCAGCAGAATCCCAGCCTCTTCCTTTCCCCTGGTGCCCCACAGCGGTCACACTCCTGCCAGGGCCCCCAGCGAGTGTAGAGCCTCAGGCGGTGGCCCCCTGCCTCGTGCAGCCTCACACTCTGGTTACGGAGAGGTGCTTGGCCCAGACCCCGGTGAGAGACGTGGAGCCTCTCGGCATCCTGTACATCCACCCGGTACTGGGCCAGGGTCGAGGCTCCGGCCTTACACACATACAGGCCTGAGTCCCCAGGCCGGGCCTGGCCAACCAGCAGCACCCCACCCCGCAGAACAGCCCGGCCACTCAGTTCTGACAGTGGGCCCCGCCTTACCCGAGCCCCACGGGGCCCAATGAAGGTACGGGGGGAGCCGCCATCCTCCACGTCCAGGGGACGCCCAGGCCCAGCCCCAGCCCCAGCCCCAACCCCAGGCTCTGGCCTCCTCCTGGACCGGCCTGGCCCCAGCCCTGGCCCCAGCTCCCGGCTCAGGTTCACGTACTGCCAGTGCACCATGTCCTCCTCGGCCTCCAGGGCCCCCGGGCAGCGCAGGGTTAGCGGGTTATGGGACAAGAAAGGCACGGTGCATGGCCTTGAACCCACCCCTGGCTCCGGGCACTCAGACTCAGCCACCTCCTTCTCCAGGAGCCGGGGTAAACTGCCAATCAGGGCGAACAGGGCCACTGACAGCAAGATGGCCGTCTGCCCGAACATGGGGGCTCCGTCCACGGCTTCGCCCCCCCCCACACCCGGGCCCAAGGCCCCCGCCTCAGGGAGGCTCTGTGAGGTCATCAGAGGGTGGGGCTCTGAATGGTCATCAGGAGGTGGATCCCTATGAGATCATCAAGGGATGGGACTCTGTGAGGTCATCAGGGTGGGGGCTCTGTGAGGTCATCAGGGAGTGGTCCTCTGTGAGGTCATCAGAGAGTGGGCCTCCGTGAGGTCATCAGGGGGTGGGGCTATGTGAAGTCATCAGAGAGTTGACCTCCGTGAGGTCATGAGAAGTGGGGCTCTGTGATGTCAGCAAGGGATGGGGGTTCTGTGAGTTCAACAAGGGGTGGGGCCCTGTGAGGTCATCAGAAGTGGGGTTCTGCGAGGTCATCAGCGAGTGGGGCACCGTGAGGACATCAGCGAGTGGGTCACCGTGAGGACATCAGCGAGTGGG